TTGTTCCTTAGTTCTGAAGCAGACCTAATTGCTTTATAACTCAAAGCAAAATCGTTTGATTGGAAGAAAATTACGATTTCGACTTGTACTTTCCGTACTTGGTTTGCATCCCACGACATCTCTGCATGATGGTCGTCCTAGTAGCTGGTGGCAAGCAAGTAGGCAACTTGATTGATTGTACAGTCTCAAACACGCATGGATGAAGGACCAGATTTGGGAAATGATTGCAGAAGCACGTTTGTGTTTCTCGAGAAGAACAGTGTAAACAAAATGCGTTTTACATGTAAGAATAAAATTATGATTTATTTTATGTCATAATTTATGCCAAGGCAAAAAGCTGATAAAGCTGATGCCATCGTTTTCGAAAATGGTACTACCTTCGTCGTCAAATTAAACCCAAGTTAAATCTGAAAACTCCTAAAAAAAATTAAGATTTACACAGAAGAAAGTTATGGTCTACAAGTTTCATATACGAATAACTGATCGTTACCAGTCGTTTTCTCCATAACAGTTCCAAAATTTTCCTCACTGATTTGCGGGTATTCAGTCAGATTCGCACGACAAATGCAGAGTGTCCCAAGAACAAGTAAACACTTTTCAATCGTTAACACCTCTCTTTCCATTGTGTCTTTTTCCGCCATTTAAGTACCATTCTGTAGAGAAGGCTTCAACTTAGATACAGTTACACATGCGAATACCGATCGCTCTTCAGGTGTACTTACTTTTGGGACATCCTGTAGATTGCTGCTCATTTTCTAAAGAGGATTTCTGCCGAAAATGCCGCAAATGGTTCCAAAAACTGATGCAAAGCAGACACTTTACCACGGACAAGCAAAGCGCTTTTAGTCAAAGTGGCCGCATCGGAAAAAAATTTATGCCATTTCGGAAGGCAATATACCATGAGTTTTAATTTTATAAGGGGATGACTTTTCCTATTCTTCTACAAAATTTTTCAAAAACATTCTAGGACTTCTCCGTCTATTGAAGGGTCCCGATGAGGGCCTAAAAATCAAGAACTCTGTCTAAAGATAGGGACAAAACTTAAAAAATTTATAAACTCGGTTATTTCTTTTTATTCATACGCTAATCCCAAATTTTGCTATTTTCAGTGCGCTCTTACAAGGGAAGGATGATCGGTCGAAGTGGCCATTTGAAAGAGCTGTATATTAGGAAACCGTCCTCGGTAAGGCAAACTCAAAACTACTTTCGCTAGGTGTCAAGCGGTTTTGTGGGGGGGGGGGAGTACAAGGTCAGATGTTGTTAGATGCCGACTCATTAGTGCTACTGCGTAAAATCAGGGCACATTCTAGATAAAGTCTTTACGGTACCTTCAGGACTGAAGCAGTGAATCAATTTTACTCATAACATGGTCAACAGGTCGCAGTAGCAAAGACGGGAAAATGACACTCTAATGTAATGTCTATTACCATATGTGATTTTAACAAAAATATTGGGTTGGCGGATAATTTCTGCTACACTTTTTTTGTGAAATTGTGAAAAATTCCAAAAGTTTTTTAGAACTTTCATAGTTCCTCCATATGTAGGCCACGGCAGGGCGTACACAAGGTATGACTGTTCGCAAAACAAATAGCTAGCGAGTTTACCACAATTCTATAAACACATTCAAAATTGTAGTTTTTCCTTTGACTTTTTTTCTTTGCTCTAATTGTGTTTTTTCTCTCCCATAATTTTTTTAGAACATATTTTAGCGTTCTCTTAATTATGGCAGCACTCCGGCGTCGCTAGCGTGCCAAAAACAAAGGGTGAAACACAAATCAAAATAATCAAAAATTAGTCAAAAAAACTTGTTCTTCATGTTAAAGTGCGAATGTACGCTGACATGCCGCAACATGTAGCTCATGTGAACATGTGAGGACATGATTGTGTCGTCCCCATACATTCTAGAAACCATGGACCATACCCTGATCGCCCGGTCTGTTCCCGATCACGTGGAAGAATGCCAGCCCGCTGACAAAAATGTCCACGAAACGTATTTCCGCCAATAAAGTGGCTATTTTCCCACGGCCGCGGATCTGACAGTACCGGCGGATGGGTCTTTGCACCCCGTCGACATCCCTTGAACATAATAAATTTCGAAGATTTCTCAGATTTTTAAGAAATAAAAATAGAAGTGTAACAGAACTTATCCGCCAATCTAATAGAATAGAAAAATAGACGGTGATTGCTGTTTCTCGACTTCACTTAGTTTATATTGAATAAACATGTTATAAGGCTTCACAAAGTTCAGAAGTGCTAAAAATTAGCTTGTCTCTAACCTCATGCTGTTTTCTGGTTTCGGTGGATGCTATTTATTGTTAGTTAATTTATCTAGAACTTTGTGCCTGCAAACTTCCACCGTGATAACGCAACGAAGAAAACCAGTAGCTAATTTGTTCTGTGTCGTGAATATGAACTAAAAGCACTTTTTTGAGACCTTATCCTCAATGGCGGTGAGTAAAAAGAATAGAATCGCTCCGAATAATCGACATGGAAATAGGGCGATTAGAATTGAAGTCATAGTCTATTCCGTAGCTCGCAAAACTTCAAAGCAACATTGAATATTTACGATAAAGCTAAAAATGAGTCACAGGAAAGCATGTATGAATCAGGCATGAAGGATGTATACGAGAGCGCGCGCTTCGGCAGTCGCATTTGTCAGGGTTCGTATTCCATGAAAAGAGTTTTCCGGCCCCGAAAGTTTTCTCATCACAACGGGAAGTGTAATGGAGGATCATGGGTTAAAATTTGAAGAGAGTAAATTGAACTGAAACTTTTCGCGGTTCTTTCATGTAGTGGCAGTCAATCTACTGCGGCTTTTGCCTGTCTTTCATAAAAAGATAAATGATGTTAGAACATACTTATTGCGGCTCTGGAGCTGTCAATTAATCGGTATCAACTACCGTGTTCTTTAATGTTATTCTGTCTAAGTCTTTCAACCTGATTCTTTTTTTGACAAGTTGACGATAACGTGCATTTCTAGTTGTCTGCCTTGTGGGACAATGCCTTCCACGAATAAGTCGAAAACTTTAGCTAATAATAAAATCACGCAGATCGTCATTTACAGTATAACTACAGCTTCTAGGGCGCAGCCAAGAAAGGCGAAAGTTTTCCTACGGGTCGAAGCGTAAAATAATTATGAAACCATTGTACCCTAAAACTGTAGTCATTTCACTAAAATTCAAGCCATGACCTATCATATCACATTGTCTCACGTGGAAGTGATTGCATGATTCACCTATGGGTCGCACTGTCGTCCGTGTGTTGACGTGCTCAAAAAACCAACTCAACTCTGATCTCACAAGCTCTGATGAAGAAGTTTTCGCCAAAACGGCCGAATTTTGAAGACCCGTTACAATTTTTACTATACCCTTGATGAAGTACTAATTTTGAAAAGGGAAAAACATTATATTTTCATAGCTTATTCTCACAACTGGTGAAGTTCCAGACAAGCGTTTGTTTTTCGAAAATTTGACTTTATCAATAGGTCGACAATCGTATTTCCAAACTGTTGGTTCCACACAAGGATGACAAAACTGAATTAGTTATAAGATGGAATTGTACTGCACATCAAAACTGGCCTTGCCACTTATTCTGTACTCGAACACCACGTAAAGATATGTATATGTATGTCATATGTAGTCACTACCATCTCATTTCTTTAACCATTGGGCTAGTATTTACCATTTCGTCTCGCTCTGCTTACTCTCAGAGCATTCCTCAATAGACGCTGGCTTGCTTTGCTATGCAAAGGGGTCAAAGAGAACACTGAACAGGTCTGTGGTTTCAAAGAAATGTGACTAACACAGACTTGGCAGTGATCAAAAAATCTGAGTATAAACCAAAATCGGCTTTGCTTGCACGAAAATCTGCTTTTCTAATTCCATGCTACAGTATAATGTTATCTGTGTCCTGGCTAAGCAGCTCAACACAGTCAGAAAGCAAATTAAAGTCCAAAGTTTAAGAAGATTATAGAACTGTTGACGTCAAAGAGTATTTCGAGTTGTGCTGCGCATATAAGGCTAGCCAGGTTCAGTGTCAACCATCTTACTTTGAGAAATTTTCTCGTTCTTGGTTTTGGCAAGAGCAACGTAGCTCTCATTAATCCAAGCCAACCTTGAAAGCATTTTCCTTGCCTCAACATGAGACCCAGCTGAAACTTCATATTATTTTGATGGTCTAGTGCTTGGCTTTCAAAAGAGAAGCACTGGAAAAATTTCGATGATCATATTCTATAAGAGTAAAATTACAGTGAAAGTTGCATCTTGTTTGCTGTGGCTCTGCTACATGTGGTCTCCTACTCATTGCCAGAAATTTTTTTAGGTTTTTTAGCAAGACAGCAAAACTCGTAATTATGTCAGAAGGCCCCCCACGCATCACTTTTATACGAAAGGGTCTTGACTGAATGAATATGCTGCTTGGTCCTCATTAACCTGCTAGACCGCTAACAACCGTTGAATGCAGGTGTACAAGAGTTGTTTTGTTGCTCTATACACGAGTAGAAAGCGTGTCTTCGTGCTCCCTTTCCGTCAGCGAAATCGCCACGGCAGAGCTTCGCGCTGTCTCCGCACGCGTATGGTTTGAGCATCAAATCTGGCTTCGCCATTGAGAGCCCACTAGCAAAACGCTCGCTTCAATGCGTGTTCCTTTCCAAAGGGACGTGGTTGACACAAACTGTGCAACCAGTTACAACCCGCACAGGTTGGGCCAAGAAAATGGGGAAATCCAATCTTTAACAGCACATACCAATACAGGGCGTCCCGAAAAGTTGCGCACACTGTTTGATCGTCAATAACTCTCTTGCTTTCATGTCTTTTGCCGAGCTTGAGGTACCATTTTGTAGGCGAGGTTTAAATAAGACTTACAGTATAGAGCGAACCATCGATTAATCTTCATTACTGTAGGATTACGGTATGAACTTTCAGCAAACAGCGTCACTTTGGAATAGGCCTTTTGATGAAATAATTTCAAGAAAATCTCTGAACCTGTGTAGCAAGGTTTTCAGGCATGCTGATTTCACTATGATCGTCTCCACGATTCGTAGAGGTGTATTGCAGACTTTGCCTGGTAACACAGGTAAACTTGTTAAATCTCCACCTCATAGCATTGTTTTTTGTACTCTCTTGCTATCAAAAACCGCCACGCTTTGAGTTGGCAAAACCCCGCCTCTACACGAATCGTGGAGCCGATGATACATAACTTTCACCAGTTTTTCGAGCTTTCTTGATGGCGTATTCACATATCGAACATTTGAAAAACGGTTGTTACACTAAATGTAAAATAATTTATGAAAGAAGTACTACAAGCGCAAATTTCATATTTAGATTCAGCGACTTCGATTAGCCCAGTCAACAGGTTCTGGCTTGTTTCATTTCTTTCCTGAGGCAAAATAACGTTTTCAATGGCTTGAAATTCTCCCCGAAGTTCCTACCGTAATCCTACAGTAATGAAGAGCGACTGATATTTCGCTCCATACTGTCCATCTAAGTTAAACATCGCTCTATAGAATGATACCTCAATCTTGGCAAAAGACATGAAAGCGAGGGAGTTATTAACGAACAAACAGTGTGCACATCTTTTTGGGACACCCTGTAGATGTGCAAGCGGTATTCAGCTGTGTCTATGACAACTGTGCATTTTGATAGTCAAAAATGGATCCACATCAGAGATAGCAATTCTTGTCTTGTTGTTTCGTACACTACGATATTTCACTTATGAGCGATTTGCACTTAGATTCAAGGGACCCCCTAACGCTTTCGCGAAATTGTTTCTGAAAAATTAAAAAATTCTGCATATAACTGAAGGTTTTTACTTCTATAAATACAGTATATTAATTTTCATTTTATACTCTAAATATGTATATGAAATAAGTATTGGCCAGTGATAAGTCTGCATATGTATAAAATGAGTATCTGTGTAACTCAAACCTAGCTTGGTTGTCATCTGTTCTGATGATTTCTCACAGCATTTTAGACGCCTTTTCGAGGTTGGAACTGGTTCTTAGTGGCGCAAAATTGGTGTTGATTGGTAAACACGCCAAAGGTATGAGTTGAAGTTAACCGCTCATACGTATCAAGCAGCCAATAGAAAAGTTGAAACCACTAAGACGTTAATTGTCAAACCTTGCAAGCGTGCATTCAAGGCATCTTGCGATTGATGAATTTAGACACCTTGGGCCAGCTAAGCGCAGCGAAATTAATAAACCCTCGCAATCATTGAAGTCAGTTATTTAGCAAGAATACGTAGTTCATTCATTACGAATTCTAGCAACGCGGTCGAACGCCGGCAGCATTAGGAGCCTTTCACTCCATTAATCCATTCTCTGCAAACCCAGTTCAATTCAATTGTCTACCTAATTCTGATTTCCTGATAGCACTTCGGTTCACTCCATTTTCCTTAGTATTACTGATTCTGGAAAAGAAGACAATATCAGTTGTAAACGTAGTGTAATGTAAACGTTGTAGCCGTCGCTCTTCATCCGCGTTTTATACGTGCTAATCAGAATTCCGTTGGAATCTTCTTTAGAGCACACGTACATCGCTGAAGACAAGTATGAAGTTTTTGCTTCTCCTATTTATCCTGGGAGCTTGTTTATCAGTACCAACACTTGCGAAGTAAGTCCAAGTTACATCGTCCTAATAAGCAGCAAAGTGTAATCGTTTCAGTTTTTGCTGCCATGCGACGTTCACTCCATCTTGTAATTGGTGCCCAAATACAAAGAGCAACGTGAAACTGAGGATTATAGTTTTCAAAACCGAGAATCAATGCCACGATTATTGTTTCACGCATAATTTTAAAGCTTAGTATCAGCAAGGCAGATGCAAGCGATAAACTACGAAACAACGAGCAGACTTTCTCTCATTGCCTGTATTTCCTTGTGATGAATTACGAATAAAGCATTGTTTGCGGCACGTTCACAGAGACACTCAGTGTGAGAAATACCTTACCACGTGTATAAAACCTAAGTACACCTGCTGGTTAGCGGTTAACTTTGTTTAAAGTTAGTCATTTATAATACAAAAGTTTTTTTCTGGTTTTCAAGTTTACATGATGATTTACTCGACTTAAAGTACAGTGAAGTAAATGCAGTTTAGCAGGTTGCACCACTAAAATTTTGCCAGAATTGATAGTAGTCACCAATAAAGAAAAAATGCCGAACCGCGTAAAAACGCTACTATGATTTTGAAATTTTTCTTTTAGCGGTTCTCGAGTCGCAAGTGCTTGTGTATCCGGCACATCCGAGACATGAAGCGCAAAAATATCCAAAAAAGTTTTCAATTTCCAGATGCACGGCCCTTGTAGTGAAACAGGCGTATAAGCAACATACTTTTTGTCCGATTTCAAAAGGGGTAATCACAACCTACGTTGGTAACGGGGTGATTATAACGCATTTTAACTTCAATTGTCTAATTCTGTTCTTATGATAACACTACGCTTCATTCCATCTTCTTCGATTTTAATGCAGTCTTTTCAACACTCTAGACGAATGCGAAATGAGATGCCATCCTCACCCAAATTTTCAGTATCACCAAGGCAAATGCAGGAGATAAGCACCCTGTAGACAAGGGCGAGACGATCAAGAAGCGCGATTTCTCCATAGGATTTCTCATCAGTTTAGCAGCGCAATGTAGAGCAGAGAATGTTCCAAGTATACCAGACAAAGCTCTCTAGCTTACTTACAAGGAGCGAACCCAAACTCGAAAGTGCCAGTCGCGGTAAGCTATACCACCTCAATCAGCGCAAATGACCTGAATCTGTAATCATTGCCTGTCAAGCGCACAGATAACGAAATGAATCACGAGAAAATCGGTGCCCGAATTATGAGCCCCGATTTTCTCGTGATGAAAGTTCCCTTGAGTACAGTTCGCAACGCCACAACATTCAGTCGCTTAATATTTACGCGATACTCTGCTATGCTCTTCCTAGTCTATGTCCGTTCACACTCCAAATTCTTAGTCATTTCGTTATCTGTGCGCCGTAACCGAAACATTAAATTGCAAACCACTAGGAAAAATTTGGATTTTTGAAGAAGGCGCGCGAGTAAGATCGTGTTTCTGCATGTCAGTCGTATAGCGACTTGTCGAGAGAGTGTGTAGACGTGTAAACGTATATTTACGATACCTCCTTTGCTTTGGTGTAGTGGATAAACGCGAAGCCTATGGGGCAGACAGCCGCGGATTCAAATTCTTTTCCTTTCCAATGTTTACAAACTAGGATTATATCTTTTATGCTAAAACGGGTGGCCTGCGCACATGCACAGACCATCTATATATATGCTACTATAATGATGCACTAAGAGTGTTTACGTGCTTTTGTGTGTCTGTGTGTGTAAACGTCCGTCTGTCACGAAATTCATAACGCGAGTTCCAGCAAAGGTTTTGAAATTTGGGTCATAGCACCTTGGCACCAGCAAACCCGTAATGCAAAATTTCGTGCGGATCCAATATGATGATCCTCCAAAAATCGCATGCCAAGCGGATGCATACAGCTTTGAGCTTGCCAAACTGGCTCCAAATTAGATTTCTCTGTGAATTTTGGGATTTGTTGGACACACAGATGTGCAAGCTGTCGATCTTAACCAGAGAAACAATCAAAAATATATTTTTCCCAAACATATTGCAAGAAAGGGTCAATGAAGTAACAGATCGATTTTCCAAGTTTTCACCTAGGAAACTGAGAAAATCTTTGTTCAGGGAGTAGCTCACAGACAGTTATAATGACTGGAAATTCGAATTTATCACGATTTCAGTAACCGATTCAAAAAGTATTTTTTCAAGGCTTGGAGACTTTCTCAATCTGGATCACCGATATCATTGTTTAGAACTTTTGAAATGAAAAGTTCTAAGCACTTCATTGCTGATGGTCGATATTGCTCGGTTTGTTTCGAAGCAGCACTTGCTGTTTGAGGGTTGATGACGCGAAAGTACTAGGTTAGATAGGCATCGAGGTTTCGTAAGCACAGTGCAGGACGGATGTGGAAGCAAGCACGTGTTCAGTGCTTCTGAAAAGAAGTTTATGACTGTAACATTTCTTCTTAACGAATGCATTCGATATTCCTCAATCAAGCCTTGCTACCGCAGGCATGTTATGCTAAAGAGAAATCAGTCTTTGCGGCTTGAATGAGATGATTTTATTTTGACTGGATTATTCCAAACGGTAAGTTCTTAGAGAACTTCACAAAAGAGCAAAATGCTGCGCATGGACGGCCTTACAACATATCACCACAAAAGAGCCGCTTTCCTGATTTTGAGCATTAGTCGCTCATAACTGTTATAAAGAAAGCTTTCATAAAATCTAGCTTTTCTCTTCAAGACTGCGTCTTCATACAACCCAAGCTTAAGAATAGGCACGTTTGGCATATTGCCTTTAGCTTTTAATCGTAGGATCCCTCCGACAACTGATCTCCTTTGCTGAGTAATGAATTTGCAGCTAAACGCGCTGCTTATCCGTTTGCTCTGACTATTATAGTCTGTCTCTTAAAAACCAAGTGGTATCATAACTTTTGCAAAGGTTGTAATCTATGTGTAGAACCGATCATTATGGAATTGCCAATGAGAATGCCCAAAAACTGCCGTTTGAGAATCCAGAAATGTAATTTTTACTATAAAGTGTTTACTTATAATGGAAATGGAATTTCATTTTGCGCAGTATATAATATTTTGTGACCTCAAGATGGCTTTATCTTCATTAAAAGTCTACTGTAGAAAAAAATCATGATTTAGAGTAGTTGAATCAGTAATGAAACCAAATCAGCAACCTGAAGTTCGTACGCGCTCGCGTCTTCACATCCGATGCGGAGCGGTTCAATTTGTATGAAAGAGTAAACCATGCTTTTTATAAAGACATCTTAGATCCTTGGTAATGATCATCTGTTGCATAGACAGGAGCGATAGAAAAAAATTAGTCAAAATTTGAATTTTCTCTGTAGGGTCATAAAAATCGGAGACTTGCAACAAAAATCGGAGCAGTCAGTATTGTAAGTTCTCTCAACAGCTCTTTCCAACAGCGCAAAGTTTGCGCCGATTGAGCGTCTATATGAAAAGTCACGATTTTCCTGAAAAAAGCCAAAATAGTTCAAATTCGCCCTTTTGTATTGCTTGCTCGAAAACCATAATTTACAGAGACGCTCAATTGGCGCAAACTTTGCACAGTTAGAAAGAGCTGGTGAAAGGGCCTACAATACTGACTGCTCCGATTTTCGTTGCAAGTCTCCGATTTTCTATGACCCTACAGAGAAAATTCAAATTTTGACTTATTTTTTTTCTATCGCTCCTGTCTATGCAACAGATGATCATTAGCAAGCATCTAAGGTGTCTTTATAAAGAGCATGGTTCACCCTTTCATACAAAATTAAAAGCAGCCAAATCGGTTACAGAAATCAGAAGTTATGATTTTTTGAAAATGGAGCGAAAGAACTTTCGGGATGACCTAATATACAGTGCTGGACATAATTATGAAGCCACTCTAGAAATTGTCGCGATTTTCGTTCTTGCCAATGAATCTGTCTGAGACTTTGCTATTGTGCGCATGTCAACCTACCATGAATCCACAAAACGGCTTCCAGTCTTGTTGAGTTTGAACGGAGAAAAACGAAAAAATTCGAAAAAGCCCTCTTTGAAAGCTGGATAAAATTACAAAGCCACCTGGTTTTTCTAATCACTATCGCATCTGTTAACTCTCTTTGTACAATTACATCCCAAAATATGAAGCATTTGCAACACCTACGGCCTGTCATCCTACTCAAATAGAAGCGATCACTGCATTATTTGCTTTCAAAAGCACCAAAAGTCAATCTGCATCAACAAACATCTGGTTTGAAGAGTCTTCAAGCTCTTGTTCATTTCAAATGATAATCGTGGAATCTACTGACCCTTCTGTATAGATGAGGTGAGGAGCGCTTTCGTAGAGATTAGCTAAGATTTTGAAGTTTTAAGAGTCTCCGGTTTTATATCGTGATCTGAGTTGGCTTTGATCGTGCAAGGTGCTCCACTCAACATTCAGTGAATCTCAACTGCGGCTGAACCAACAAAGTGCTCAATCCCGAAATTTTTTCCCAGTCCACACGAGATCATTGTTGTATGGCTGTCGTAAGGGCTACATTACAGTATTTTCTGTCGCTTAAAATTGAGTTTTGTGGTGCAAAAGTGCGTCAACTCTATGGTGAGGTTGGAGTCTGTCCGTCAAAATCAGCAGTTAGCAAAGTTTACAAAAGCGCTCTTCACTTCATCTATCTAGAAGGGTCAGTAGATTCCATGATTATCATTTGAAATGAACAAGAGCATGAAAACTCTTCAAACCAGTGGGCTGTTGAAGCAGATTGACTTCTAGTGCTTTTGAAAGCAAAAAATGCAGTGATCGCTTCTATTTGAGTAGGGCCGTAGGTGTTGCAAATGTTTCATATTTCGGGATGTAATTGTACAAAGAGAATTAACGTATGCGATAGTGATTAGAAAACTGTCCAACTTTAAAAAAGGGCTTTTACGAATTTTTTCGTTTTTCTCTGTTCAAACTCAACAAGACTGGAAGCCGTTTTGAGGATTCATGGTAGGTTGACAGGCGCACAAAACAGCAAAGTTCCAGACAGATACATTGACAAGAACGAAAATTACGATGATTTTTAGAGTGGCTTTAGAATTATGTCCAGCACTGTATAAGGTTGCCCCGAAAGTTCTGTCGTTTCATTTTTGGAGAATCGTAACTTTGCGCTGTCTCACCGGATTTACTTCACTATATTTTATTAAAGAGGGTAAGTAATTGCTTCTAGAATGCTATTTTGCTGAGGTTCTGCTACGTATTAACTGTAGACATAGAAATAGAAAAAGAAGACCATATAGACTTCGCTCATATTAACTTAGGTCGCCAAAAACCGGGAGCGCTGCGGAAAAATTTGAAATCGTCAACACACAAATTTT